TACTCAAATGGACATAATTCTCTCCCTGTATTGGCAATACCTTTTCTTGAAGAAAATGGTATCAGTGCAGTGCTAGGTCTCTCTTCATTTTCAGGTCACCCAATACAATCTTATGGTATGGGGAATCAGCATTACTCTACTGCATTAATATACCGCATGTCCCCTACATGCAACACGTCTCTTCTGCATGGCCCACATTAAGATTACAGATGCCAGCTCCAACAGTAAAACAGTTTCGTTTATGTCTTCATTGAGGTGCTGAAGATACTTGATCTAAATCTTCTCAGGTGTTTATCCTGTTCTTAGCATTTTAATAGCCAGCTGTAGAATAAGGGCTCAATATTTTCCAGAGTCTCTTACCTTTCTCATATTGCAAATACTATGTAGCACTCTTTCAAGTTTTCGCTCAACTCTTCAGCTTGGCCTCCAAAGCCAGAGAACTTCTACGTAATTGGCAACAGGAGTGCTGCATTGGCAGTGAATTACGGCTAGCTCCAAGAAAGAAGGCAAATGACTTATTAAACAGCTCACTTCTAAAAGCAACTGCCTGACCCTCATGAAGAGTTCTTCCATTATAAGGTACAGAATGTGCACTTCATCCAAAGGAACCTTACCGGGAGGTGCCAGTGGCAGCGAAGAAGGTAAACATGACACCGGCAGCTGAAGACAAACAGATTTTCTTCTTCAGAAAAGAAGCCTGTGACTGGCCAAATGAAGGAAGAGAAGCAATACCCAAAAGGTCTAAGAGTAACTTAAGAATTTCTGGCTGAATTCGGTTAGAAGAAAGAGACTCATAATTTGTTAAACTATACACCAAAGAAGAATAAAACAGCTAGAACACACAGCCTCCCACATTCCTGTTTCATTAAGGGAGAGGGTATGTCAAAGTAAAGCAAGTCTGCTCTAGAATATGAGCACACCAGGGTAACTTGGATTCATCAATGCTGGTCTCACAAGATGGTATTCAAAGATGAAACTGAAGTCGTCATCTTTATCCTCAATCTACAAAGCTGTACAGCTCCAAGGAAGATGACAGCCAGCTATGCAGGACAACAACAGTGCTTCAACCAGGAATCATTTTTAGCTTTTCAAAATAAAAGAAGGTAGCTGCCAAGTATCACCTATTGTATAAGCTCAGTCAAAAAATCCCAGGCATGACCAAACACAGGAAGCAGGTAACAAGCTATGCACTGGCAGCCAGCATGTTCTTTCCTGTTAGAAGATGAAGCAAACCAAAAAGTGCTTGTGGACCCAGCTGCCCTCTTCACAAACAAAAAATACAACGGCACTCTCAGATGTGAAAAAAGAGTTGTTTGGTGACAGGGGAAGGTGAGATAAAATAAATAATTAAAAGAACCTTTAAGTGCATTTATGCTACAGAGTAACTGCTTCATATGCATAAACTTTAACAGTAAGGGTTGTGATGGTTTGCATAAAGAAGTAAAACAGAAGTCAACTGTGAAACTCTGGCAGGAATCTTTGAAAAAGGAAGTCATTTTTACACGATCAGCAACTGTCTGAAGAGCATGTGCAGAACTTCTAAGCTAGCTGTTACTGTATTATTTAATTACTTGAACAAAAACGAGCTTAAAAACATCAGTTTCTTAGCCCTGACACTGGGACTATACCACAATGAAGCTAATACTGAAGTAAAAGAAGGACATTTCATCATTTTGTTCCATATCATCCCTTGGTAAGACTTCTTTCACCTCCCAGGCACCAAGAAAAAAAGTATGCAAGGTCATGTGCAAAGATACACTATTATTGGTATTTCTTTTACTTATAACTTTTACTTTCATCATTTAGAAACTGGAAATAGCCTTACCCCCCCTTCCCAGCTCAAAGCCACTTGACTGAAATGAATACGAGAAAGCTACTCCATTCCTTCCATTAAATTTAACACTTGCTTTACTACACAAAATGCTCTCAAATGCAGCAATATTACTACCATGTTAAAAAACCATTATTGTAATTTTCACCCTACAACTACAGAGAGGGCAATAAGGAAACTACAGCAATCTGTACCATGTATCACATGTAGAATATACGAGCAGATCATTGGTGGCTCATTTTCCTCAGATTAGTTTTTGGATTGGCTTAATTCTCATCTCTCTCTCTCTCATCCACTGACCACAATGTCCCAAGATTCCATTGTGGATAAAATTCCCTTCCACCACCCAAATTTCATTGTGAAGATTTTTACATTTCTGTATTATAGGAGCGTTTTCAAATACAGACCATTACAGTCATTAGCTCTTTTTTTCCTTATTCACTAGAAAACTATGGGTGCATTATGAGCGTTTTAATTTGGACTGCAAGTGCACTTTTGAAGCAACTCTCCCCATTATTGCCACTTACTGCTTTTTGGTTCACATGTTCAGCATCAGAGCTAAAGGGAGCTTCCCTTTTACAACAGGCTAAATTGAAAGATGCACTTTAAGAGCTTACCTACTGCAATCCAACCACACGTAAGCATTCAGTCCCACCGGACCTCATCAGAGGTACTCCAAAGTAAAATACCTCTGAAGTATGTACAGTGTGCATGTCAGGTCCTCAGTGTCAACTGTTCCACTCTACAGACATCCTTCCAGAGGTCCACGCTACTTGCTAATGTATTAATAGATTGAGCTTAAAGTTGGTTTCATAAAGCTGTGCAATTAAATTTATATCAGCAATGAAAAGGAATCTTTAATGAATCATGTGTTAAGTCTTAAACTTCAGCTGCACTTTCACCGTGTCATTCTAAAAGGTATGTAAGTAGTGGCATTCAAAAGACTATTGTTTGCCAGCTGACGAGACGTCTCAGCAGCAATGCCTTTAAAAATTTAACTAATGCTAAGTCTAAGTGCAAGTATTTGGCAATCTCAAGATCTAGTGAAAAAGCACAGCTCTAGACTTCCAAAGTCATTCATCCTATTAAGTTTCATTAAAACTAGCACAAGAAGTAAACCACCTAGTAACTTTGGAAATCACAAACATATTTTTTCATTCTCATCCTGGTTGCCCAGTATCTTGCATGCAATCAGACTAAGGATTTATATCATTCTTACGTCTTCCTTTCTCCTCTTCCACACCCAGATGCCTCCTATACTAGAGAGGTAGATCTGATCTGTCCAGTTCAGAGTATTACAGTTTCACATAAAATTACCCAGCATGTGTATATACACAAATGTATACACACATACACAAAAAAAACCCTCACTTTTGGTCAAGAACAATGTCAAAGAACAACTAAATGAAGTGTATATAAAACCATAACAATTTAGGCCTGGGTTTCACATGTGTAGTAAGGTTCAGGCATCTGTCATTCCTCCTTCATCCGGCCACACACTGCTGCTGCAGCGCTACCACTTGCCGTGTACAGCAACATAGTGAATCATTCCCCCAATCTCCCAGGGTGGATCAGTTTTCGTGATCCCATTCACCAAACGGCTGTATAAACCTCTGTGATGACAAAGGCCAGGAGCAGTAGAGTAGGCCCAGAATACTCTTAGGGATAGGCTGGATTGCAGAACTTCATTGCTGTCAAAGGAGTGTATTTCCCAAGTCTTTGTTAGAAAAAAACAATAGCATATTGCATTACAGAAGTCAGGATGGACAGTGGACTGTGTATTGGCTTTTTTTTTTGTCTGGATTAATTAATCCTAGACAAGAACTAAAATTCCATTATGAGTCACCGGAAGGCACTTTATATCGGGTACCATGGCCTACAACAGAGATAGATATTCCTGGAGATTTTATTACCCCTTAGCATATGCTGATTCAAAATTAAAGATTTTCTGTCCTTATTTGTTTTGTTTCATGCTGAAGTGATTTATCAAGTTTTTCACAGTGTATTTTATGACAACTTTGTATTTCCATATTCAAGCTAAAAAGAGGAAAATAATTAAAATTTTACTTTCAATACATTTTGAAATAAATATCTGCATAATTACTTTTGAAATAACAAGTTACAGCGCACATTTACCATAAACTATTTTGAAAGCTTACATTTAATATAAATATTTCTCAAGTTTGAAAGTCAAGTAAGTGCTTTTGCAGAACCATCTGCCTAAATACGTGAAATAAAGAGTGTGCTGATTTGCTAAACCAGATTTTAATCATAGTAATCCTCTGCGTGAACAGAGTGAATACTTCCTTCGTTTTGATATATTTAAAACTCCCTGTCCATTGTCTAACTACTTAAATTTTAGAAGCTACCTGGGAATCTAAAAGAGAGGAAAGCTGTTTCTTTTCCTCTGATTTAAATAACCCAAAAGATTAAATTTTCCAAGTCTCAAGTCTAAAGGATATAGTAAACAGAACTATCCAATTAATTCACTAGCTACAGGGCAAAAAAACCCTTCACTTTTTTAATGATTAGCTTTAAGTATAAAACATGTTTTGACCAGCTTTTACTTTAAGAAGCTTATGTATTTTAATTGGATTCAAACTTCCATTCATACACAAAAATAATGAATTTCAAAATATTAAAAGTTACTAGTATTAACACAATGCTGGGAAGACAGTGAATTAAGTTACTGAAAGAGATACAAAGCTAAACTTTGTCATAGCTGAGCTGCAACATATCCATTTACAGCCTTGCACCAATTCTTAGCTCAGTAGAATGTATCTCAGTGCAATATTGCTTTGCGTACCGCTCCAGCTTTCTAAATAGTGCAGCATGAAGGAACAGAGAAGACAATTATCTACTAATGAGTCTAATTTACAATCAGCTCAAACTGCACAAGTCTAATTAGCATCTTCACAAAACACATTAACAAGATGCATCTGTGCTTGTTTTAATAACTCTGACAATATATTATTATTATTATATGTGATTTCATTAACTACTTTCCTATTTAAGATTAAATTATTCATGACGAGTTTTTCTGTCCTTCTGTATTCAGCGAAGTACTAAAATAAACTAGGGATTTTTCCTGGTTTGTTCCTCCAAATGAAATGCATCCCTAAAAGCTGAAAAGTGAATAATATAGCAAAATACCACGTGGTCAACTTACCACTGCCACAGCATCACTAGAAAGAACTGCTTCGACATCCAGCACCGTATAGTAAGCTATATTGGTCATAATATAGATAACAGTCACAATTGGCATAGACACTGCAATAGCCAGGGGCAAGTTCCTGTAAGACAAAACAAAAAACAAAACACAAAACAAAACAAAACACAAAACAAAACAAAACACAAAACAAAACAAAAACAAACAAACAAACAACCCACAACACAGGGAAAAAATAAGCCATTAATAACAGAATAAACTTACTTATTTGCATCCTTTACCTTAGAGATAAAAGGTATGAAGACAGAATAAAGATTTCAAAATAAGTATCTCTTCCAGAGTTTGGTTTCTTTAAAAACTAGAAATTCTAATACAGAATACTGGAAACAATTGAATGTTTTGTGGTAACTTAAAACCCAAATTACATGTAAAAAGGGATTCTATGCAACTGCTCTTCTAGTACCCTAACTTCAGGGTTTCCAGGTCAGTAATAATAGCCTTCAAATTTACATGCTTTAAATTATTTCCTATTGGCTGTGTTAATTACCAGAACTAGAACCCAAAGGGGCAGAGCTCTGAGTCACTGCACTCATTCTCCCTGAGGAATGCTGGGTTCTTCTAGCACCTACTTCTAGAACTGATGTAGGGAGATTAACTAAACCAAACCAAACCCCTGATCTTCTCATCTGCACTCATCTGCATCACTGCAGAAAACAAACTAACTGGGGTGCATAGCTGCAGAAAGTAAACATGCAGAGGGCAGACCCAAAATTGCTACACAGCTGTGAATCTCAGGATGTGGCGTATCTTACTAGCAAACACATGTCTAGAAAGTAAGCAAAAAAAAATCTAGAGTAACATAAAAAACACCACAAAACTCTAGATGTAAACAGGTAAGAAAAGCTGATATAAACTTACAGCTCTGAGTCTGCAGCTCCACAAGGAGCAACTCTGCAGAGCAGAAGCAAACTTTTAATTTTAGGCTCTGTCTCTTCTCAGCCTTTTTCTTTCCCCAAAGCTTGCAGGGATATTCAAATGTCTCAGAAGGGAAAGCAGAACTGAGAGTGTTACTCTCACATTTGCCCAGTTTGAAATCAAATATAACATGGTGACATGGATGAGCATTTGCCATGAACATGGTTTCCAATTAACAACAAGAAAAAACCAAAAATCCAACAAAGCAGAAAAATGAAATGCACTTTGGAAGTTTCTTCAAAAATTTCCCAAAGCCCAGAACTGCAGCTGGGTTTGTCTGATACTGTGGAAGTAGAAAAACACACACCACACTACACCCCCACGTATACATCAGTAAATTAGTAACTGGGAGTTCTGACTACTACCAGGTTACACACTCGCAGTAAGAGATCTGTGAACCTCAGTGCAGAAAAGAAACAGAATTAGAAAACCACTTAGAAATTACTTCAGAACTGCTTCATAATGGAACAAAAAGCTGAAATGGCATTTTAAGGATTTTGCATCACCCAAGACTAAAGCCAAGAAAAAATTTCAAATTTAACTCGTGGATTGCAGCTTTTGACTAGACAAGCATGAGGGCACTATGAATCAAGTGAATATGAAAAGAACGTAATTTTTGGAATAATGTTCTAGAAGTCTGGAACATTTCATTATTCCCAAGAATTGTCAATGTAGAAAGCTAGAATTTGAAGTTCACTTTATCAGCTACAATTGTTACCAAGATTGGAGCTTGTGTTAGGCACTGATGCCTATAAATAGCAAATGAATCAAAAGACATTTTCATCAGCTGAATAACCTGTGAGAAAAATTGTTTTTCAAAACAATGCATCTAAGACAAGAGTTATCCAACTGATAACGCAGAACAATACACTAACTTTAAAAAAAGGTGAAAAGGCATTGCAACAGCACTCAAAAGGGGAGCTCCTTCAGTGGAAAACAGCAATTTGAAGGACTAAATGACTGATGCAAACAGAAAACATACGTCTCTTTGGAATATGTATAATAAATCTCTGCAAGATAATTTAAGGAAACACTGTCAATTAACATTCAGTCTGACAAAAAACAAGCTACTTTTAAAGTTAAAATACTTATCTGTTATTTTATCTTTTTAATAGATAAATTTCCTGGTTAAATAAATGCAGAGCATAGAACTCCGGTGTAACAGAACAAAATGCAAAAGTCAAAATCAGTTGGGAGAATTGAAAAAAACAAAAATCTCTCTTCCATTCTTCATCTTTCAGTTGTAGCAATCTGAGCTGTTGCTTATAATAGGAAGTAAAACGATCAAATGGGATTCTATTTTTAACATAAAAGGCATCTGCTTACAGACTCACAACTGAACAAGATTAGTTTAGTCAGTCACACTTTTAGAGCACAAATTAATGGAAAAGATAACATTCTCAAATATGAAATCATAATTATTGCACAGATAAACACAGCACAGACTACACTTACGTAACTGTTTCACTGTGATATTAACACCTATTGTAATTAATAGTAGCAACATCTTGAATCGAAAGCTTATCAAGCACTGAATACAGCATCCTGCATTCATCTAGACTTATTTATTCTTATCTCCTCCCCACCCCCCCCTTTTTAATGTACTTTAAAACTAGTAAATCTTTGCTGGTGGTAGTTCACAGCTTTACCATCTAAGTATAGAGCAGTTCCACTCATTTCTTTATAGGCTCAGAACTCTTTACTGAAATACAGCCACAAAACAAGCAAACTGGGAACTATCCAGGTTTACCTTTCTGGGTTTTTGATCTCTTCTGTTACAAAATTGAGCGTATCCCAACCAGAGTAAGAGAACAAGGCAGAATAGAGTGCGAGGGAAATGTCTCCTATATCAAAAGACGATCCCTCAAAAGAGTTCTCAAAGTGCGATGAGTGTCCTGTGTGTGGAAGAGACGCAATGAAGTACAGGATAATAAAATATAGCAAGTAATTTTTTTCAGCTTGGCACACAAATACAAAAAACCCCAGAAACTCTAATTCCTCCAAAGCTGCTTATTAAGCCCTTTTTCCAATTCTACTCTGCACTTCTGCCATGAGAATAAGGATGGCATTTAAACTACTAAAAATTATTCTCTGTGGACGATACTGTTCTATAATTAAACACCTAGTTCATCCACAACGGCACAGAATAATCAGGAACATTAGGTTCAGGCTAAGCTACAAACAGCTGGCAAAGACAGTACTCAGGCTAAATGTATTTTTTATAACATATGTATTTATACAATAATTCACTCTATCCTTCTATGTCCTTTTAAATTTTCAGTCATTTAGCCTATGCAGAAAACAAAGATTACAGCTGATTTTAGACAATTACCACAAAAATAAAAACCCCAAAACTAAATGGATGGTTAAGTTCTAGCTATTAGAAATAGAAAACTGAGAACAATTAACAGAACATTAAATATTACTGTTACTTGAGATAAAATTTTCCCAAGCTAAGAGAAAAATTCTATTTTTTTTTTGCACCACTATTTGTGAGAACTTGTGCCATCTTTTGACTTTAAGGAAGTCAAGAGAAGTTCATCAATGGTAGTTCTGTATATTCTGACTATTTTACATACACAGACACACACAAAACTCCAAACACAGCAAGGTGAGTAACTATGTAACTCCAAAATGTGCCCTGTGCTACGCATCCTGAAACATTTAGACTCCATCAAAACTGGCCGGGCAAATATTTGAGGCCTCTCAAATATCTTCACTTCTTTCTCTTTTTTTTATCTTCAATCAGACATTGCTATTTCCTTGGCACAGACACAGGAGAGTAACTGCTGAGTTAGAAACAGAGGAGGGAGACAATGTCAAGGAAGTTAGTAGTGAACCAGCTCAGTATCTACAAAACAAAGGAGGGGCAGATGTGCTAAGGATTCAACACTCCAGCAGGGTGCTCACATATGGATATTTTTGTTCCATTCCCAGTAATTACCTTCCTCATGGACTTTCAACAATAACCCGTTAGAGCAAAGGACACAAACTGCGAGATTGCTGGGGAAAGGCCTTTATGCCAGCTTTGAAAGCAGGGTGATTTTTTTTTTAAGCTAATGCACCAACATATTGTCCCCAAAGGAAAGGATAAGAACAAAACTAAGCTCCAAATTCCTGTAACTTGAAGGCACAATGCCCAACACACACACAAATTAAAAAAAAAACAAATTCCAAAACCCCAGTGACTTTCTAATTCTCAACAGCTATAAAAGAACATAGGATTTAAGCAAAAAAAAGAGATGCTGTTTCACAAACCTGCTTACACGTTCTTACAAATCTGTTTTTACTTTAAGTTCAGTCACTCTCAGACTGGCATAAAATTAATTAAAAAAAAAATAAAAATTCAGTTGATCTCACTAAAGTAGCATATTCCGTACAGAAATTTACAGCTTTCTCTGCTCCCATTGTATTTTGCGAACTCTGTATTTTGCTGTTTTCATTTACTTTATTATTCCATACTGCAGGCTGTAAATCACACATTGCTGAGCAATCAGTTACCTTCTTTTACCCAGTTCAAAGTCAACTGAGATAGGACAGCTTCTCATGATACAATATCATGATAATGCCAAACATTGGCATTATTGGTATTTTTAAAGTGGCTAAATTATGCTTGTATTGAGGCATTTGATAACACACACAGAGGTATTTTTCTGTCTTTAGACCAGTTACTCAGTTTAATTGATAAACACAAACCTTTGCTTTAATTTTATAAGCTTACCCTGGCATATTTTAACAAGTCCAGTTATGATGATGACAATAAGAGCAGTGACTTTAGCATAAGTAAATATATCCTGCACCCGTGTTCCCCATTTAACGTAGGCACAATTTATAAATGTTAGAAGACCTAGGGGGGGGGAAGAAATAAGAAAAGAAAAATTAAAAGACTATTTGAACAACAGTCAGTTTAATTTTTCAAAGATTCTAAATTATAATCTAAGTATGCACTTACCTGTTATACAAATACTTAGGTTAAACTAAGCAAAATACACTGGTACTGAGAACACACTGGTTTAAACAAAACAGTAGGAAACAGATGTTCTAATACACACTGTTTGAAAAGATGGAAGGAAAGGCCTTCCCATGCTCTCATTGTATGCCCGTTTTCCTAACGTTATCCCTCATCAGCTGCATTCTGCAACTATGCTGAAGCTAAAGAAACCATTCCATGAAATTATTCATTTAAATTTATCAGTATTGTTCTGATAAATGAAAGAGTATCTAGAAACTCCTTTAAGCAAACATATTAAGAGTGTTTGAAAAAGATTTTTCCCCTTCCTTGTTACCTTCCCCTTCCATAGAGTATTTGCAATACTGAATTCAGGTCACAGACAAGTCAACACTCTTTTCCAGTTGTATTAAACTGTATTACTAAATGAGGTTAGAACAGATCTGACCAAATAACATATGCTTTACAGCTAATACAACATTAATCTGGATTTTTAAGAACTTGTAGAAAGTAATGAGTATTCTGAATATGTTCCTCCCTCTATCCCAAAATAAATCAATGTCAGACCTATTTCACAAGACTGTAATGGAACTTGAAGTGAGACTTTCAGATGTTACAAACATTTTAGTAACAGTGGCTGACTAAACTTACTCATATGACCAACTTCCCCAATAAACACTTTTCAAGCTATTGCTGAAACACATTGTTCTCATGGCTCTCAACATTTTGCTTTTGCATTTATTACTTTTTCCTCCAGTGGAAAGCTAGACAACTTCTGCCTGAACTCAAATGCTGAGTGTTGAATGGGATTCAGTATCTTCAGCATTCTTTATTGAACAAAATACTAATTCATTGCATATTTTTCTTACATAGATTATCCTTACATTATTGATTCCAACCCAGAAGTTTAAATATTTTCCCCAAATCTCTTTTCTCTAGCAAGTAAACAAGTGGTTATATTCTATTGTACTTTTTATCTCCAAACAATTTTTTTGTACTATGTATTTTAAATATGCATATAAATAAAAATGAAACTTGATTGTTTAAGGAGTAAGGTAATAGCAAATCAAAATTAAATGAAAAGATGTGATAAATTACTACCTTTCCCATAATCCAAGAATAATGTGATATTATTAAGATAAAAATGTACTTAGCACAGTTACCAAATAGAAAAGTAATAATTTTTAAAAGATAACAAAAGAAAGGTAATGAGCTCAAAAGAATGGCACTAGTATACTAGACAGTCTGGCCAAGTGGAATAGTTGTACAAGATTCCACTGTGCTTGGCAAGATGAGGGGAAAAACAGTTGTATCAAATTTCAAAAGTCAGGACTGCTGCAGCTTCTAAAGAGCCCTCGGGGAAAAAAACAACTCTGCTTGGTCTCTGCTCTTCAGTATTCATGATTGGTATTATCTATAGAGTATTTGCTCACAGGGTTTATTTTGGCCATTTTTTTTTTTAAACCAACTTTCATTCGGAGTAATTATTATTAACTCTTTATTTTAGTAGGTTAGGGCTTGGTCTCTACTCCAGATGAAATGCTACTCTGTCTCTGATATCTTAAAAGAAAAAAAAAAGATAATCAAGAAGTTGAATAAGCCACATCCCCTCTCTCTTTCTTTTACTAAAATTATTCTCTCATGTCTTCAACTTAATTATCATTTAGCTACTTAAAGTTCCTGAGAACCCTCAAATTTAGTTCTGTAGCACCAGATGCCATCCCCATTGCCAAAATGATTGACAAAGTAATGCTGTATAACACTAAGACTGATCTCATACTAGATCTAGTATTGTCATTACTACAGTTCAAAGAAAATAAAAGAGACCCCACAACAAACCCACCCATTCTCACCTACAATCTGTACCTAACCAATGTTCAGACTTCCACTCCCAGTAACTTCATTAATAAAGTATTCATCGTAACCAGAGGTAAGGATTTGACACACGTCAGCCCTGCCAGGCCAGTGAGAAGTGTAGGCTTTAACAGCAACAGCTAAATGAAGTTAGAGCAGGGGTGAGAGCCTCAGCACTGACACCTTGAGCAGGGTAGAACAAGCACTTAAACCATAAAATGGACTGTTAAATTAAGTTGTTCCACCTACATAAGAGTGATCTTGCTGTCACATGTCTCTACTAAAGAAAAAGGTGATAAATCTCCTTTCTTAACAGCAAGTGTAGAGGACATCACATTGTCTTTCTACATTTACTATACAATCATTTTAATTGAATCACTTTGTCTTAATTTCTTGCTTTTTGATAAACTGTTTTTTATAAGGGCTAACTCCCCTCAGATGTGAGATATCTTAAATGGAAGAGCAGATTTCCCCACACTCCTGAATCTGTGCTGGGATACCTAGGGACAGTATCTGTTTAAGAAATGTGAACATGACGTTACAGGTCCTTCATTTCTTTCCTGCAGTTGTCACAACAAAACATGGACACACATTTGGAAGGGAGGAGGAAGATGGGGAGAACAAAACTGAGTAAGCTGACAGATTTTTTGGAAGAAGTTTGTTGTTATTCTTCCCACTACCTGGATCTGGACCAGCACATTAGTGCTTTCCCAACAGTAGCAAATTAACTTAGACAAATGGAAGGGGAAGCTATAATGTTCACAGTTATAGAGGTCAAATATTTGAAGCACACACTACTGCTCTCTCTTTCCCCTCTTCTAGTCCTACACAGACAACTGTAGTAAGAAACATTGGAGCTATTTCAACAGACTCCCTGTTGCCTCTAAAAGGAACTAGCTGGGAGTAGCACACCTCCTCCCTGTAGCATATTGTTGGCAGCAAAAAAGGCCAAGTTCTGTATTAGCTTTATGATAAAAGCATCACGTCAGTAGGGATAGCAGGCTCATGCACATGGTGACTGATCGGTACATGAAGGATTGCCATACAGACTCTCTGAAATACATTTTTCACTGTTTACTGGAAATGTAAAATATGTATATAAATACTTTTAATAGGAAATACCTAAAGTTAAGTAAGACACACAGTACAATCATACAGTTTCATTCTCTTGATATAGCAGAACAGTCATTATTTGAAGCATGTGGACAGTTGTTCCTCTATATTGACTGAGCCGGCTATCTGATTACAAACATTTCAATGTTTTATGTGCACAAAAAATTTCTGCTTTTCAAAAAAGCTTTACAACAGGTACTGTTGTACTGATGTTATAGTTAATCAGAAGCATAAAGAGTAATCTTGAATGAATGATCTTTTGAAACCCTACCAGAGTAATTACTTAAGCGTATAAACATTGAGAAGCTATTGTAAGATACATTACATCAGAATTTATAGCGTAAGAGCTATTTTGCAACAACTCAGACCGCACCAAAAGTATCTTGAGGTTTGATTTAATATACCTCTCTGAGGGAAAACAAACTTTCCCCCATTTTTGCCATGTAAATAAACTTGGAAGAGTTAAATACCTTATTCTGCTTCTGAATGAGAAAATGGTAATTCACTGACTGAATACCTGCAAGTTACCGATGTGCTGGAAATTGTTCTTTTCCCCACTGTAACTCAATCCGTTGCAGATTCAACATGCAACAACTCTGGGACTTTGTAGGATTTGTTTTAATAAAACTCAACCCTGGTTAAAAAATTACCATAGCAAACTTCCAGAAATACTTACATTCACAAGCAGCTGCTATAAGACGGCAAGCCAAATATGGAGGATCACAAGAAGGGAAAAAAGGTTGAACTATGTAGTTAGCAAAGGTGATGGCAATAATTGCCTGACTAGTTGGCTCAACAATTAGGAGTGAGGTCCACAAACGGATAAAAGCAATGAAGCTCCCAAAAGACTCCAAGATATATGCGTAGCTGGCTCCTGACTTCGTAATAGTGGTTCCAAGTTCAGCATAGCAGAGAGCTCCAAAGACTGAAAAAACCCCTCCGATTGCCCAAATTATTAGAGACAATCCATAAGATTTGCTGTAGATGAGAACTCCTTTGGGAGACACAAAGATACCTGAACCAATCATGTTGCCTACTATAAGGCTTATCCCATTTATCAAAGATATTTCTTTCTTCAGTTGCATTGTATTTTGGTTTCCATCCTGTATTTCAGAGCTGTCACTTGGATCCGTCCTGTCTGATTTATTGACGGGGCTGTATTCAGCCAGTGAACTATGCGACTTCATACAGTCTGTCCTTTCTCCCATTGTGGAAAGACTGCGATTTCTCCACGTCTCCAAATCACAATCTAAAACAAAATATAGACAGCTGAAATCATTATAAAATCTTTTATCCCAGGACTTTATTGCCAAATTTTCTTTCCACCTTTTTACCCTATGATTTACAAATATAAATTGAGAAATTCCCTTTTGTTGCTTTATATTTTTCTTACTCAAAGTTAAATTCATGCATAGTTAAACAGAAAAACCAACACACACAGAGCAAGCGACAAATTCCAATATCCAATGTAACTGCAAAAGGATCTTCTACCTTTAGGGAAAAAAAACAACAAAAAACTCCAAACAACCAAAAACATAGGAGGGACAGAATTAATGGATTCCAATGTTGAAAGGAAGAAAGAACAGATAGAAGCAAAGTGAGGTGTTATAGAAAAGCAAGCACTGTAAGACCAAGCTGGAAGGTCTAAGCATGAAAATAGATTTATTGCAGGACTAAAAAAAAAAAAAAAAAAAAAAAATTTTATATTTTTATAAATTTTTTGGAAAAAAAAAAAAAAAAAAAATTATATATTTATCAAATTATTGTGCTTAAACATGTAAGTTATGAGTGATCTAGTAACAGGGTTGCACACGTTATTAATGCAGCGTGGGCTCTTGCTAAGGGCAATATAAAGAGATACTTACTCCAGAATCCCCTTGATCCAACTCTTGACTTTTAACTGATACTATAGTTTGCTCCGTCCCTGAAACTGTTCCTAGTTCCTACTACCTCACTTCCCGGAGTTATCTAGTAAATGCAGGCTGTACATGAAAAAATCCACAGTAGTTTCAATCAAAATTCCTCCATTAGCAACTGTATTTAACAGTACCTAAGAAGACAGAAATGAAATAAACTTCTTCCTCGGCTTCAGAATCGACTATTGAGAAAAGAGCCACCTTCTTCTCAAGTCTCCAGGAAATTCTCTCATACCTTCCAAAAGCAAGTTACTGCTAATAACATTTATTAGCACAAGAATATACTGATAATTAGCAGTAATTCTGAATAAGGCCCTTTTTCTAGAAGATCAAGTAAGAAATTATCTGTTCAAGGAACAGTCTTTTATGGAAACCAGCTTAAATTGCAAATGTACCTTTGATGACTATGTTATCAGCTACATAAATAATGGGGCCTACATAATTACTAGAATGCACTACCATTCATTTGCCCTGCTCCTCATTAAACCCTCAGTGTATACTTCATCCATTTACTATAAAACAGAAAAATTTAAAAGTCTGGGTCAATTAGAATAAAGCTGCTGATCTAGCGGGGGGGGGGTAGCTTTTACGCTTTTTTGGGATAACACTAATTTTACAAAAGTTTTTGTTATTCCAACAATAAACTTCTCAACTAAAAGAACAAAAACCCCAAGTGTGGGGATTCTGAAAGGTCAACATGCAATCACCCATACTACATATCCATCTCTGCATCCAGTAACATAAGAACACACAAGGCTTTGCTCATGCAGTTAGAGGCATACCTTTCCGGAGGGAAAACTTAATAATCATCCTCTTCCTTTACACTAAAGCCAACACCTGTATACTACAGCACAGAAAATCTGACTTGACATCCTTGAACTACAATAGTTTTAAAGATGTGAAAATTATAAAGATTATTTTCAATCAATAAAAAAGTAACTTCTACTGAAATGGAGTACAAATCATTTACTGAAACACATTACATCATTCATCTCCAACTCACGAATCTTCTACCTTTTTCCCCATTAAAATAGAGAATGTGTTATTTTAAATAATGCAAAATGAGATCCTCAGTCTAAGTCGGATGCTTTCTGATTTATTTTCCCCTCGATATTTCAAAGCAGTACTTTAAGGATGGTTAATTACTAAATACATATTTTATCATTTACACGAGTCAACATCTTATCTAGTGTCATACACACATCACAAGCCATCAAATTTCACATGTTTAATTAGACTAAAAATTTTCAATCTTTCAGAAAATATTTCAGAACCTAAAAGCTTGAGTGTTATAATGAAGCAACTCCAACAAAATTAAACTAATTAGGAGAGAGAGATCCACACAGTTTCTGCAGATGAGTGTGCCCAAAACTGCAAAGGAAAACAAAAGCATATTCATCTCACCGATTGTTACCAGTTCTCCTTGTTATTTACTCTTCCATCTATCTTGAGCCAAATTCATTGGCCGATTTTCTGTTATTGGTGTGGTAGAGCTAAGTCTTCAAAAGGACATGGGGCTTATGAGCTTGTAAGATTATTTGATTTGCTTTACAAAAGTTCAGTTATTACTGTGTGAATATAAATTATTATAATAATCAATTGCAAATATGATGCAATCATCAGAAAGCATAAATATGTAAAACAGCAGGACAAATAATCAGAGCAGATGTATTCATGACTAATTTGACCCTAAGAAGTGGATTTAAAGAACACTTGTGACCTGTAAAAATAACATTCAACTCCAAATTGAGTCTTTTCATTTCTATTTTGACTCAGACAAAACACTAGTTGCAAATGTATGTCAGAAGGCAAATCACTCTGAACAAATGTCAGTGGAAAAAATAAGAATGCTACAGCTATTATTATAGTATCTGACTGCCAGTTTGAAAATATGCCATGTTCATTCTCAGACCTTCCAGCTAAAGGATAAAACTGAGTAATATGTTAAGAATTGACTCATGGATGTAAAACATCGTTTTGGTGATAACTACACAGCTTTATGATTTCTTACTCCACATATCCTAATCATCATTCCCATTTCTTCCTGGAACTCCTTTCAACATAGGACTTGTTCAGAAGCATAAACATTACTTTGAATACTCAGGCATATTGATGATTTGATTAAAATCAATTGAATCATTCAAATCGAGTCTGATGTGTTAACACACACACAGTTTTATGTTAAGAGTCCCCATGATTTACCTCATGGTCTGAAGTTCAGAGGTACATTTAATTACCTGTATCTACAGACCCTGTCACTGTTGAAATGCCTCCACTTCAATTAGCAGCACGTGACTGCAGTTCTATACAATTTTGTTACTGATGACCTTGACTGTTTCTTGCCCTACTCTACCATACCCAGGAAAGAACAACCACAGTCTCTCACAATCTAGCTTGTTTTGTCCCCCAATACTCTTTCTCCCTCTCTGAGTCAGCTTTTATTATTCCCAGTTTGAAGAAGGTGTGTGCAACAGCTCACTCAAGATTTGGCATTTCATTCTCTTCTCTAACCTTGTTTGTTTTATATCCTTAAGGCCTTCAGGGCAGGAATTGCTTATTTGCCTGAGTCGCATGTCTTATTACACCACCTCTATGACAGAAACCAAAATATTGGCAGGTTTTTTCCTACAAATACTTCACTTAAAATTAACTGGAACAAAACTCTGCAGCTTTGACCGACTGAAAAAAAACCCCACCAATGTACAAAGGAAGAGGGAGAGCAGTCACTAGAGAAAACTGGAGCTATGTCAAGATTAGCAACATTGAGGGAAAAAAACACATATATTAAAATCCATGATTCTGTCACAAGACCATTATTTCTGTGGAAACAGCAGACAGGCTTGGATGGGAAGAACCAGAAAGGAATAGTATGTATTTTCTAAAATACAACAATCCTGTAATACTCCAGCTCAAATCACTGTTAGAACAATCTCTAACACTGCCAGCCTTGCCACAGGACTGCTAATGCAGGCTTATGCCTTCACACAAGCTAACACGTGGATTTCCTCATCACTCACCCTTGTGCAATACAAAGTCTTAAACTCCTCTTGTTTTTGCTGATCGCTGCAGCTGTGGGGAATCTTTTTGCTGATATGCGTAAGATTTTTTTACTGAAATGACACTGCCGTAGAAAGCTTCGATAGGAAACCAGGACACAGTGACCTGAAACAAGGATCACTTCATTGACTCACCAAAAATATATATTCTGATAAGGCCTATCACATGCTGGCCATGTACCAAAGGAGCTAACAAAGGTTAATGTGCAGTTAGCAAGGTACTAACACCACATTACATGGTGGGCCTCCCTTAAGAGGAAGGAAAGAGGAACCATCCGCCAAGATCCCCTCTCTCCCACTGAGCAGGACAGCCACTGACCTGTCATTTGTTCAACTTGGAGTGAACCTGCAAGGGGGTTAATGCCCAGTGTGAAATACCAAACTGCTAAAAGCTTACTATGTTTTGCTGTACTCCTATACAATACCTGCTCATAAGCAGAGATTTCTAGTGTCCTCGCCTCTGTCTTTCACGTTTGTCATGATCACATAAAACAGCTCTTCTTGTAACATAGCTTTACATACATATTTTGAGTATTCATGTATACTAGCTGTAAAATGCCTATTTCTGAACACAATGATTGGCCTCTCAGGTAAGAGTCTAGATTGCCCTACACAGGCAAACAGCATGAAAGTCTTCCGGGAGTTAAGGACCAACAGAGCAAAGGTTTTAAGTCCCAGAAATGCCCATTCCTTGCAATGTATATATTTAAGCACCTCACAGTCTAAACATTTAAGTGGGAAAGACTTAGAGTTGTATAGTATGCGTTTTTCTTGTTTCTGGTGAGAGAAGAAACATTTCCCCTGCCATATACAGCTAGCAGACAGGAAGCCCTTGCAACAAAAGCAATTCCCAATGTAAAGATCTAATCTGTTCAACCAAGTCTTTTGTGCTTGCCTATGCAAACACACTATCTTCAGTGCTATAAAAAACAAAATAAACTTTTGATCAAATAGAATTGGTTGCAACATCCATTTTTTTAAAAGCACAAGATGTGTTTATCATGTAAAAAGCTATGAAAGAGAAGTTACTATGTCAATTATTCACTTGATAGTGTATCAGTGGTAGCATTCAAGTCCTGACCTACACACATCTGTGACACAGCTGCAACAAGAGATGTTCAGCAAATACACATACTATCCACATGTTCGGACAAATCCTGAATAAGACTATGAACATTAAATGAGGGAAAGCCCTATAATCAGCTCACAAACAGATATTCAGTTACAATGTCTCAGGAACTTTTCAAAATTCCCTAAAGCATCAATCCTAG